CCCTCTGTTCTTTCTTTCCTTCCTCCCTTCCTCTTCCTTCCTTCTCCTTACCATCCTCCATTCCTCCCTCCCTTCCTCCTTCCCACCCTCTCTTCCTTCCTTCCTCTGTTCCTTCCTCCCACCCTTCCACCCTCCATTCCTTCCTCCCTGTTCTTTCATTCCTCCCTTCCTCCCACCCTCTGTTCCTTCCTTCTTCCATTCTTTCCTTCCTTCCTCTGTTCCTTCCTCTCCCTTTTCCCCCTCCGTTCCTCCCACCCTCCGTTCCTCCCACCCTCCATTGCTCCATTGCTTCCTCCCTCCCTCCATTCCTTTCTTCCTTCCTCCCTCCATTCCATCCTTCACCTTCTTATCTCTTTCCTTCCCCCACACTCAGGAAGGGGTAATGGGAGGGGGAGAGATTGTCAGGACTAACATGCTGCTGCCGGCCATTCCTATACCATGTGGGCGGGCAGGGGCAGTCCCGTTGAAAGGGATGCCTCATGGCTGCAAGGCTAGAAGTGCTGGTGGGGGGGTGTGTGGCGCTGATCTACAACCTGGTTCCATCAAAACCAGAATATGCTTAGCCTAAGATACACTGGAACCAGCAAGCAGTTGCCCCGCCACCTGTGTCCTGCCCCCTGAGCGTGCACATAGGAGACAGCCAGCACCGGCGTTCTGCTGGCAAGACAGGCAGCAGGGATGCCGGACTCCACTTGCGCGCACACCAGGGGACAGGGCGGGGCTGCCCCGTGAATTTAAGGCTGAGCGCATTCTGGCTTTGATGGACGCAACCAGGTTGTAGATCAGTGCCCGGTCAGCCTGGGCTGGGCTGAGATGTGGCACGCCAGTTCTTTGCTCTCTCCAGAGCAGGTCCCTGGGCCAGACGGAACCACATATCGGACCTTGTGTTTGACACATCTGTCTTATTTCATTTGTAGCTGTTAGAATAGTTTGATGAATTGCTTTCAACATAAAGAGACTCTGTTCCTGGTCTTCATCCATATTATCTTAGTAGTGTATTAAGTTAAATCTTTACAATCAGAGAATACAGGGAAAAATTTTTTTGTCACTGAGTATAGAACGCACCTGGGCTTCTCATAGCTAATGTCTCAAGGTTACATAGGTCTTATCTATTTTTTTTATATATGATTTTATTGATTTTTTCTTACATACATATAATAATTTTTCAACCAATGTGTTATCTGGGTTTAAAAACGCTAATACATATTTAATTCCTAATCCTTCATTCTTTCCTCTAGCCATTGATAGAATAGGTCCCAAGTGTGATAATGTTCTGTTTCTTCTTTTTCTTTCAATCTCATAGTCAATCTGTCCATCTTTGCACATTCCAGTATTTTTTTAATTATTTCTTCCTCTGGTGGTATACCTTCATTTTTCCAATATTGTGCAAACATTATTCTTGCAGCTGTTGTGACGTGTAAAATCAAATATAGGCTTTGTTTGTTAATATTTTCTGGCATTATACCTAGTAAGAAAAGTTCAGGTTTAAAGTCTGCAGGTTCTCCCAATATCTTTTCTGATCAAGTATATATTTTTTTTAATAGTTCTTTGCTTTATCACATGTCCACCAGACATGATAATATGTGCCTGAATTATGTTTATATTTCCAACATCTATCTGACATATTTTAGAACATTTTTGCTAATCTTACTGGTGGCAAGTGCCATCTAGAAAACATTTTATATAAATTTTCTTTATACGAAGTTCACATTGTCAGTTTGTAATTTCTTTCCCATAACTTTTGCCATTTTTCTAGTTCTATATTATACCCAAAAATTTTCGGCCATCTTATCATTGTTTCTTTAACTTGTTCGCTTTCCATTTCCAGAATTAACAAGAAATTATACATTTTCTTTTTTTAAAAAAACAAATTTTATTGGTTTTTTAATTTCTTAGAACAATACATTCAGCACACACAGTGGTGCTAGGGTAGTCAAACATCCCAAAACAAAACATATATACTTAATACAATCAATGCATCGAATATTCCCTCTCTTTTTCCCTCAAATAGCATAGTATATTTAAAATTTCCAATTCTAGCTTAAATTTTTTCAACCTGAACCTGTTTTTAAGCTTCATTAATTTACAATACCATAATCAAATTAACTTTAAATAAGAACATTTTCAATTTAAATATCCCTTCCACGTATGTTCTACTTTCCTAGTTTTATCAAAATCTTATTTACTTCTTCCATTAATCTCCCTTATTTAGAATAAAATGTTAATCCATTCTGTACCTATCAAATCCATCAATTAATGCATCTCTTCAAGCTAGAAAGATAATATCATACCTTAAATCATGTAATTCCATTAAACAGAATTCAGGTCTCCAGTTAATTATCATAATTTTCATAGAAATAAACCTTACATTCTAAAAGGAGCATTTTTAATATTCTAAATTGTCTTTAATCCATTATATAAAAATATCTCATTTTTAAGCAAAAATATTAATCTATCCTAAACATGTCTAAATGTATATATTTATCAATCTATTCTATACATATCTAATCCTTCAATTAATTGATCTCTTTGAACTGACAAATTAATATCAAACCTTCAATCATTTCAATCCATTAAATAGAGTTTAAATTTCAACCAGTTAATTATCATAGCTAAACATCCATGTTATAAAACAAACAAGTCATCTTAATTAATTAACATTCATTTAATTATTAATTCACTCCAACTCTAAAACATCATTTTACTTCAAACTCATAATTTCAGTCCTTATATCAGTCCATAGTTCTGGGTTGCCTTTAATCCAAGTTAAGGCATTTTAATTTTCATTTTTTAGTCTTATTCTAGCTTTCCTCTTCTGCCAGGTAGGTTTCCATAACAAGGCTTCCCTTCCAGATGATGGGTCTCTTTTTGTTGCTTGTAGTGTCACTTGCCTTGATGCAGGCCATCTTGATTTGTAATTTGATCCACTATTTCTCTTGTCCACAGGGCCTCATTGTTTCAAAAGTTCAAAATTCAGTCTTTATTTTTTCTAATCTTGCTTGTAGGGCAAGGTAAAATTCTCTTCATCCTCAGTTAAGTCGTCTTCTTGTATAATCTGTTTTGTGGAATAGTCCAGTGCAATCTGAGAGTCAGTGTTAAGTTTTAAAGTAGAGATTCTGACTCTTAGTTCTGTAGTAGCCTCTTTTATTGTAGTATATATTTCTTCTTTGGCCTCATGGATCTTTTCCAGTATAAGTTTACAGTTTAGGTGTGATTGAGGCTTCTCCATTTTAGCAATAGTTGAAGAAAAATCCTTTTCCTTTTTAGTGGAAATTAGAATTGAACATTATCCAGCCCCTCAGATCACAGAGTTAGCTCAAATTATCTTTTCTCTTGAAAAACAGTTTCAAGGCCAAACCCATCAATTTTTGACCAACAGATGTCCTCAGTGAGCTAAAAAGACTTCTTCAAATGCCATTTCCCCCCTTTTTTCTGTTTTTTAAAGGAAGAATAGAAAAAGAAATACTCTGCCGATCTAATACCGCTCCAAAGAACACGAAAAACTGTTTTTTCTATAGCTCAATGTGAGTAGAAATAGAATATAGTCTTTACATGAATATTTTTCTGTCTTTTTATAAAGCGCTTTTGTTCCCACAATTACCAAAGCCGCTCTCTCCAGATGGGGAAATAATAGCATAAACAGCTTCTACAGGCAAAAACAGCAGGGGTATGGAGAGGAACAAAAGGGGTCTCACCCGGATCATCTGCGGTGGGTCATTAACGCTTACATGACGATGTGACTTTCGGCTGGTGCAGCAGGGTGATCGGCCATCTTACAGGCCGATCTTTGCTCCGTTGGCCCTAAGGAGATAGCTGGAGACTCAGGGGAAGCTGCCGCCCTCCCTATCTACCAGCAAGCCTCCTCCTCGGTGGTCACCCCTCCAGGGCAACTTTTGACCCCCTAGGGGGTCTACTGGCGAAGGAACCTCCGGACATCTCGGAGAGAGGTCTCCAGGCACGACCAGCGTCACGTGTTCTGGAACCGGAAGTTAAACTATTTGGTTTTTACAAAGAACAAACTGTATTTGATAAGATTTTTGTTAACTTCAGATGAGAAACTAATCAAGAAAATGTATAAGAAATTATACATTTTCTTGATTAGTTTCTCATCTGAAGTTAACAAAAATCTTATCAAATACAGTTTGTTCTTTGTAAAAACCAAATAATTTAATGTCTTTTTCATATCTACTTTGCATTTGTAAATATGCCCACAATACATAGGTCTTATCTATTGTCTAGGCTGCTGGCCAAGTCTCTTTTAAGCAATAACAAATTTGTAATATCAGGTTTAGCCACAAGATGTTGCCCCTAATTTAAAGTTTTCTTTTGAATCCAATATTTTTATAATCTTTTCAGTTTGGTTCTTTTTTATAAGTAAAAACCCAGATCTTCACAAACTTTAAGAAATAAAATTCCAATTAGTATCTTCTGAAACTATATCTTTTAAAGTGTTCTTCAGAATCAAAAATTTAGTACTGATAAACTCAAGAAACTTGTGGATTTCAGGAAAGCATTTGAAAAAAAAATCCTTTATATTTGAAATTCAAAGCAGTAATTCAAGACCAAAGAACTTTATGTTTTGCCAGCATTGCAGTTTCTAATGCCTGTACCCATCCTGAAGTTTGTTGACTTCATTTTTCCTTCATTGCAACAACTGACTGAAGACAGGAAATAGATTTCTGAGTAGGCTTCAGAGTCTACTTGAGAAAAAAAAAACTTTCAGTAAAGACAATAGAAATTATTTCTGCTCAGAAGGATAAAGCTGGTGCTTTCTTACTTGAGTATACACATACATACATACATACACTCAATGAAAACAAGGCATAAACAATTTGTATTAAATTAATGAAGTAGTGAACCCATAGCAAGAATATAACGTAGATTAAGAAGATAAACAGTAGAAGAGAAAGATATGACTACTCATGCTTACATGCTAAACCAGAGGTTCACATATGCACAGAGGTGACAACTAACAATATTTGTTTTTTTTTCCTATATAGGTTTATACTGTTGTGATAGAGCAGAAGATTATGTTTGCCAAACAGCTTGTAAAAGGATACTAATATCAATGAAAACGGAACATGAAATTGTGGATGGACTTATTGAAAGCTGTAAAACAATGCCTCTTCCACAGGATCCTCTTTGGCAATGTTTCTTGGAGAGCTCAAGATCTGTTCATCCTGGAGTGACACTGCATCCACCACCTTCAACAGTTCTCGATAGTGCTAAGTTGCACTGCTGTTCCAAAGCAAATACTTCTTTGTGCAGGTTAGTGTATCTCCCTCTTTGTTTCAGTTCCTACAAGCTTTTGATTAAAAACAAATGTTCATTTAGCCATTAATTTGCTAGTATTTAAACAGTGTCCATGTTTTTAAATGAAGTGAACCAATTTGAAATGTTAGAATGCTTTGGAACTCCTATCAATAGTTTAATAAAAAAAACACTTTCTTATTTACAAAATGAAGGGAACAACAAGTAACAAAATATACCACTTTCGTAAGATAGTTTGCTAATGTCAAAAGAAAATGTGTTCAAGATTCTATATAAAAGTCAGAGAACTACATAGTAGTAAAATTCTCATTGTCATCCTTAACAGTGTCATCCATCTCACCTAAGTTAATTAGAAAGAAATTGTTTTTCCAATTAAAAACAAAAGCGAATACAAAAGTAGCAAGGCAAATCTGTCAGCTTAGCACAAAAAAGATGAAGTTAAGTTCCCCTTTTCTCCTAGCCACCCCTTGTCAATGTCAATGTCCAATTAGAAGTTCTCAAATTGTTTAGGAAATGGACTTTGTGTTCGTGCCTTCTCCATCTCCTCGTTCTTTTGGCTGACCTTGTGCTGAATTGATGTAACTCACTTTCAGGGCTGGCAAAGTTTCATTCCCAATCCCGCACCCCCATTTTTGTCCAGCCACATTCCAATCTCTTTTCTCTCCTTCTCTACTCACATTGCTAATGTCAAGATGCAATGTGAAGCTAAAAGAAGAATGGCAACCATGCTGCCCCTCCAGAAAACGGCTATGCCTACAAAATAAAACATAGGAAACATAAGTTACAGCATAAATCACGAGGCCTCATTTAGATTTATGGTGATATTTGTTATGAAACTGGCAGATTAAAAGGGGGAATGAACATGGCTAGCCTCAACCCACTCAACCTCTGAGGGAAGGAAATCCTTTCACAGAATAAGGTACTGTAACCTCCCCATATGGAATTTAGAATCTAGGATTTATTTAACCTCAAAATGTTGTTCCCTTTCTATCATAATTGGAAGTGGAGGTGGTTTTGTGTCAGGCCACAAGGATGAACTAAACAGGCTTCATTAGACTACAGTAGAAAACAAGATGAATGTACTTAGGTTTTGGGGGCAGTTTTAATTCAGCCATCATCTGTTTATGACTCTGGTTGTCATAGCTGCAGGAACTTAGTGGAGCAGTAAACCTTATACTTTAAACTCTTTGGGTTGCCTTCTTCTTGTCAGGTTGCTTCTTATATGCTTCCCTTTCCTCATCTAATATTTTGCGGACAATGAGCCAAGTATTCTGCAGGGTCTTGTTGCACTCAGCTAATGATGTGCAGGGGTCTGTGCTGAGGCAGCTCTGGCATAGGAACAAGGTCCAAGCCTTTCATCACCTGGAAAGGAGTAAAACCAGTGCTGTTGTGCAATGAGTTATTATAGGCCAGGGCTTTTCAACCTTTTCACCCATTGTACCACTTTTAGGATATGGCAACATCCGAGTACCACCAGTTGCCTAGCAACGTGTCAAAAACTTCATGACCAAAAAAAAAGGAAAAAAGTGATGAAGTACAGGTAGTCCTCGACTTACAACAGTTCACTTAGTGACTGTTCAAAGTTACAATGGCACTGAAAAAGTGCCCCCCAAGGCATAGCCGAGCAAGACATCTGCCTGCCCGCCCGGCCGCGCGCTTCCTCCTGTCCGAGTTTTCATTGTTGTGAGCATTTCTGTTGAAATGATCCTGGTGCTTCCACTGAGCTCTGACAGCCCCGAAGAAGCTCCGATCAGCTGGAAAGTGGCACTGATCCTGGCACTTCCGCTGAACCCTGACAGCCCTGCAGCACCAGCCATCTCTCAGTCAGGCTTGTGTGGTGCTGCCACCAGTTCAACTAATTCCCCTCCCCCGCTACCACTTTTCTAGGATGGTCGCATACCACCTGCCAGGTGCCAATGTATCACAGGTGGTACCCGTACCACTGGTTGAAAAGCCCTGTTATAGGAAACGTCTGTGAAGAGCAAGAGTTTGGCCCAGTTGTCTTGCTGGTAGTTCACATAACAACAGAGTTATGTGAACAACAACAACACCCTTAGCTCTTTCACAACTTCCATTGGTCTGAGAGTGGTGGTGGAGGAGCTTAACCCCTGGGATGTGACCAACGTCTTTAGGAATTCCTGCCAGAAGCAGGACACCACGGTCTGAGATGATGCATTCAGGTGACTCATGCGTTGAATGAACGCATGAGGTAGATGTGTTGAATTAACATCTTCACCAGGGTTTGAGCAGATGGAATTTTGGAGTAGGCCACAAAGAGAGCTTGTGTAAGGACCCACCCCACTTTGCATCTTAAGAAGACAGAACGCTTGGAATAATTCTTCCAACAGGCATCCTTTATTAAGAGAAAATGGTTACAGGCGTTCTAGATAGGACTTGGGGTCCAAACTCTCCCATTAAAGGTTTTAAGGGGTTCCCCAGTAGCCCCGCCCAATCACCCCCTACTTCCCGCGACAGTCTCAGGCATTACACTCCCACCCTCGTTTCCTTATTACCGGCTGGATGGAGACTTCAGAGAAAACTACATGAAAGGTAATAGCCCCATTGTTATGGTTAGTTCTTTTGGTGATACACACATCCAGTTCCTTTGAAGTGTACTGAAGGAAGTGAGGGCCATAAAGCCACTTTGTTCACCCCCCTTGCCTTCATCGTATGACAGAATCCATAGAAGGCAGAAATGGGGTTTTCTATAATTGATAACTAGAGATGAAATATAATTGGATTCTGACATCCTGCCCTCTCAAAAATACGACAGATCCACCTGAAAGAAAACAAAACAGGTATAAAAGTTAGTCAGGCTTGTTAGGATATTCTGTGTGAAACTTCTTTAATAGCTTCAGGGCTCTGACATGACGTTTATGGACCCACTTGTTTTGTGAGGGAGGGAGGTGTTTCCAGGCAACTAGGTACTGAGTCACTCCATGATATCTCCTAGAGACAAGGATTTCCTTTATTTCGAAGTGTTATTCGCCCTCCACCATGATTGGAAGTGGTGGTGGGGATTTTTGGCCGTAGAGGTGACTGACACTCTCTTTTCAGCAAGCTGCAATGAAAAATTGGGTGTATTTGCCTGAGATTTTTGGGTAATTCTAATTCTACTGTTACTGGGTTTATGATTCTTTTAATTGGAAAAGGCCCTATATATTTTGGTCCAAGTTTTTTACAGGGCTGTAGGGACTTTAGGTATTTTGTAGATAAGTACACCATTTCTCCTATAATGAATGGTGTAGGCTCAACCCTTTTTTCATCGGCTTGTACTTTGTATGCCTACCTAGCTTCATCTAGTGCTTTTCTAACTATTGGCCAGGTGTCTTGTAATTGTTCCATCCATTCTTTCAGTGATGGGATCGTTGGTTTGTTTGGGGTTAATTCTGGCATGGGGTTCAAACTTTGACCGTTGGCTATTTGAAAAGGAGTGTAGCATGTGCTGGAGTGGACTGCATTATTGTAGGCAACTTCTGCAAAAGGGAGTAAGTCCGTCCAATCATTTTGCTGGAAATTCAAAAAACATCTCAAATATTGCTCAAGTACTGAATGACAACGTTCTGTTTGTCCATCTGACTGAGGGTGATGGCTAGATGTCAGTCCCTGAGTGGTCCCTAAGAGGGATAAAAATTCCTTCCAAAATGCAGATGTAAATTGCACTCCCCTATCAGAGATGATGCGTTGGGGGTGCCCCGTGCAATCTGTAAATGTGCTGGACGAAAAGTTTTGCTAAGGCCTTTGCAGTAGGAATCTTTTGGCAAGGGATAAAGTGCACCTGTTTGGAAAACAAGCCCGTGATCGTCCAGACAACAGTATTCCCATTGCTTTCTGGCAATTCCACTATAAAATCCATGGCTATTTCCCTCCAGGGGGCTGAGGGATTTGCCACTGTTTGTAATAGTTCTGGTGATTTCCCTTGCAACCTCTTTGCAGTTGCACATTTTGGGCAGCTGGCTACATACCTTTCTATGTCCTTTTTTATTGATGGCCACCAAAATTGCCGTTTAATTAAGTGTAAAGTTTTTACAAATCCAAAATGCCCTGCTGATTTTGTGTCATGGCAAAGTTGCATGAAAGTGACTCTTTGGGTTGTTGGTTTATATAACTTTTCCTCTACCCAAGGCAACCCGTCTCTCATTGTGCACACATTTTTGTTTTTCTGGAACCATTCATCTGTTTCCAAACAGGCCCCCCTTGTAATCCAAATGGCAAGACTTTGAATTGATAGCACCTCATGGGGCAGTTAAATGCGGTCTTCCATTCGTCCCCTTCCTTAATCCTCACACGATAGTAAGCTTCCCTTAGGTCTAGTTTAGAAAATTTTTTCCCTTTCGAGAGGTGTGACAGCATGTCTTTCATGAGTGGCAGAGGGTATAGGTTGCTTTTACTGATTGTATTCAGGGCCCTATAATCCACGCATAAGCGTAAAGAGCCATCCTTCTTCTCTCTAAAGAGGACCGGGGCAGCCACTTTAGGCTTGGCTGGCTCAATGAAATCTCTCTCTAGGTTTTTTTTAATGAATCTTTCCATTTCCTCCTTCTCCTTTGGGCTCATGGACTATAATCTGGGCTTTGGGAGTTTTGCCCCAGGCTTGAATTCAATGGTACAGTCTGTGGGTCGGTGGGGGGGGGGAACTCATCCGCTCTCTCCTCACTGAAAACTTCAGCAAGGTCTCTGTATTCCTCTGGTATTTCTGTTAGTCCCTTTTCCTCTCCCATGGATGCTTTTTCTATTCTTGATTCTGGTAGCCCCCCGTGGGATTTTAAGTCCATAGAGTCCCCCTTCGGGAATTTGATTTCTGTCGTCCTCCAATTCACCCAGGGGTTCCATTTTTTTTAACCATTCCATCCCTAGGATCATTCGGCATTCCATGCCTGGGGTCACCACAACATTATGTCCTCCTCATGTTTGCCCAGGGAGAGGTGTATTGGTAGAGTGGCTAGGGTAGCTGGCACCCCCCCTGCTATGGATCCATCTAACTGGCCAAATGAGAT